TACTATACTGATTATGGAAATTTGTCACATGTATTTAGTTTGAGAACTGTGAGAGTCTTTATATTGAAGAATTTGTTGATGTACATTACAAATTCTTAGGAATGTTAGAATAAGAATAAATTATCCTAAAGAAGAATGCAACTCATGATATCCAAGTCTTTCTTCTTTAATTAACGAACATTTAATTTAAAAGACATTGCAGTTCAATTTTTTTTTTAAATACAAAATTTAGTCATACGTGAAAGATAATATATAATTTTATAGTCTAAAATGTATTATCTTTACTAAAGAAGATTTATATATTACAAGAGAGAGAGAGAGAGAGAGAGTTTTTAATTGTAATATGTAATTATCATAATAATTAATAATTAAAATTATTATTTTATTTTTTATTCGAAGAGTAAAAAGTATGATACGTTCAATGGCAAACATTCTCTTTTTATTGGAAAATAATATTGTGATGAAAATCGGAACAGCATTTTAAATTATCTTTTTGCTAGCAGATTTTGAACACGTAAAGCGGCTTAAACAAGATTTGTACTCGCAAAATATAAATATTAATTCTCTTAAATTCTCCTAATAATGGAAATCGTTAAAATCAAGCAAAGCCTTCTTGGCATTCTTATTTAACTCTTGAACTTAAGTTAAATTCCTTTGCGCTTCATTTGCTTCGCTTCTAGATATACGCCAACAAGAGAGAAAATATTTTGTAGTAGATTCTGTAGTATTCTCACATAAATCTCCTCATGATTCTTACGGTTGGATCATTTGATATATTTCTGTTTGCATAATTAAATCTTTCGAGTACTACTTTGAGTCACTATATAATTACGCAGCGCAATCAACAGTATTTAAATCACTTTTTCCATCTCTTTGTACAAAGAGAAATAAATCTCAACAAAATAAATATAAAAATAAGATATAAAAATACCTAAGTGAAGTAACACTGAAATACAAATGAAATATTAACTCTAATCATTTATGTTTAATAAATGATATTTATTATTAAATTAAAGATTTTAAACTTTATGTAGCACAATTTAAAAAGTTATTTTTATTATAATTAGGATATTGCATATATATAATATAGTCTGTTATTATAAAGATTATATTCATATATACATATACATCTTTTTTTATATAATTCAGATTTTTAAATGGAGAGCTGAAATCAAATATCATATGTTATATTAGTTTAATCGCATTAAACTAATCTCTTAACAATTGTATTTTTTCGTGTTTTTCTAGCAAATAAACATTGCCCTACAAAATTTAGTTTTTTGAATATACCAACTGTATAAAATTATTTAAGGATAAAAGAAATACATTCATATCGCGGGGTCTGCTACGAAAAACTTTTGCAATTTTAACTTGAACTGTGTGTAATATTGACCAGTCTCTGTGTGTGTGGCTACAATATTATGTTATTCTTTCCAATCTTGTCGACAATGTTGCAAAAGGATATTCAATACATGCAATAATATTTTCTACATATATGACAAAGATTTCGAAAGATGTTACAAACAGATATTGCAAACAAATATCTTTTCGAATGCATAATCTACCTTGAAGAGCCAAATTTATACGATGATGTAAATTCATACAATTATCTCTTCTATATATTTGGCACTTTAAGATTAAATTGATGAAGATTATAACAATACTCTAAAAAGTAAAAAAATAAACCGTTTATATACAAGCTATTTAAAATTCCACTCATCCAGAGTCCGATCCGATTTTGCTTCTGGACCTACCGCAGTTCCACTTACAAATTACAATATGCAGCCGTGAGACGTGCCGCGGATATCTGATTTAACATTTGCAGTTATCGCCATGATTCTTAAGAGTATCAATCATATTTCGCGCAATTGCGATATGAAAATAATCGCGGACAATACGACGCTGTAAGACAAATATTCGGCCAACTTCCGACTCATTGCAAGAAAAGAAAATCGAAATCAAAATACATATACTGCAAAAAGATAAGAGCAGGTGCGCAATGTTTGACCTAATTTTCTAAAAGTCTAACGAGATTATTATGCATATACAGGATGATATCAACATGATAGGCTCGCGAGATGCAGTAACAAACGTATCATTGCGTGACGAAATTTGCTCGCGAGATTTGTACGCGTGTTTTTAGCAATGTCTATTTATAATGCTTGTCATAATAACGCGAGCTATTGAATGATTTATTATATAATTTCATTTACTGACATATTTTGTAATAAATATTCCTGCGTTTATTTTGGGCGACAATAATAAACGATAGGTTATTCAATGCAAAAATTTATCAATAAGCGTATGTTTTCGCAAACAATTATAGCAATATTTGATTAAATTGATGTATTTACCGTTCTCTGTGTGATGATATTACGGAGATATAAAATATTATATATAAAAATCAATATAAATATGATTATATACGATGGGGAGCCGCTAGCTATTAACACGGCAATTAATAATCCTGTTTTGTGTGCGTTATTTATTTACTGATTATTCAATCGTAAATCAATCAAAGCCAAAACTTTCTTCGCGATAACGCACGCGACAAATTCTTAGCGAATTACCAGCAAGTAAAATTTTACACAATCGATTTTAGCATTAGACCACCCCACGTGGCAGGGGCGAATATTTAATTGGAGTATAACGGGGCGCGCGAGGAATATTCGCGGGGATTGATATATTTTCGCCTCGAATGCTTGACTGGGGTTAACCGAAGTCCCTAGAGGGCTGGAGGGCCTCGCTTGTTCGCAAGCTAGAACGTTAAAGTGTTAACGCGCTCGGTGCCTGAGACAGTTTCCACAATTGTTGCCGCGCGCCAATGGCTAGGGGGAGACCATACGACGCCTCATTCCCATTTATATACTTCAACATATTCTCACGCAGGAGAAGCGCGTGAAACGAGAATGAATTTCTGAACCATTGAAATACCAGAGCCCCGAGATAATGTATGTGATGGGTACCACCAACTTATTGTTAGATGTACCCAGGATTAGGAAGTAACGCGTTATTTGGAACGCCGTTACCGTTACAGTTACTTTTTTTTAGTAGGTGTAATAGCAACGTTACACATTTTATTTGTAACGGAAAAAGTAACTTTGTTACATTTTTTGGTAACGAATTTAACAATTACTTTTACTGTTCCTTTCTTCGAATTTACTCGGTATAACTTTCATACAAAGAAACATATTGATACAAGTGTTGAAATGCAGCATTACATGAAAACTATTGAAAGCTCTTTTTGGTATCTTGTTTCTTTCTACTTTGTAAGACGAGTAGCACATATAAAATAATGTTTAAAAATGTTTAGTGTTTACTTTGATCTTCTAACATATATCTTACGTTTATATTGTTTGAAAAATTTTTCATGCTTTTGTCAATGTTTCGACATATGACACATACATCCTTATAAAACTGTATGTAAAGTTTGTATTGTATATAAAAAAAGTAACGGAAATTGTAACGATTTCTTACTTTTTGAGTAACGGTAACGATAACGAGTTACTTTTTGAAGTTGATAACGAGTAACGGTAACGAGTTACTTTTTAAAGTTGATAACGAGTAACGGTAACGAGTTACTTTTTACAAAAAAGAACGGTAATGATAACGAGTCACTTTTATAAAGTAATTTTTCCAACCCTGGATACGGGTACCTACGTGCGTACTCGTATGTTTGAGATGTACGAAACTGACGTTGAAAATGGTAAAAATGTCGGCGGGACGAATTGAATATTACATGCAAGAGCATTTCTAATTTAATTTATAATTTGACGGTAGAGAATATACACAGACTGCCTTTTCACTCACTTTCAGACACACTGAAGGAAAAAATGGAGAAAAATTGCAGTCTTTCGTTGATTTTTCCGTTGAGGAAGAGGTGACATCAATTTTTTATCATAGAATCTGTATAAAAACGCCATTTGCAAGAAGCGAAACGCTCTTTTAATAAATGAGAGCATTCTATTGGTTACGCGCATTTTCTTGAAATTTAAACGATTCCATTCTTCTAGGAAATATCATATATTCACATGTTCCGAATGAGATATGGAAATATCTCTGCGAAATTTTAATGAACTACTCGGAAGTGACGTGGACAGGTAAAGTGAAGAGAATAGTTGATATACGATGGTACATCCGAGGAACCATATCACCGTAGGGACACATCACATCTAGTCCCAAGCCGACGGATGGGAATCGGGTAGACAGCAAATACGTAAACAATGTAGTAAGTCATTTTATTAATGCAACGCTGCAATAAATGTTCGAAGATTCTTCTGTCATTTATATGCGCACTTCGCTATATCGCCTTTTCAAGTGGATTGGGTCAGGTCAGGTTGCACGGCAAGAGAAATGTTATGTATGCTATGTACCGTACGATCATTACAAAATCATGATAGAACTGTGTGTAAAGCAAGAGCGCTGATACTCGGAAAAGAAAAAAAGAGATACGTGTAAAACGTATTGTATATTCTATTATTTCTTTTTAATCTCTCGTCACACTCGGCTTTTATACAATACGGAGCAAGCGAGAATATGTAATATGTATATTTATATGTAATATGTATATTTATATGTATATTTATATGTATATTTATAGTGTTGCCTTTTCTCATACAGTTTATACAGTATTTCTTCCGTATTCACATACATATGTATATCGTTCCCGATATATACTCTTTCTTTCATTTCAATCCCTCGACAACACAATTATTTTTCGTTTTATCTCTTTCTCTCTCTCCTTCTATTTTCTCTCTTTTTCTACAATTTTCTACAACTTTTTCCCTAAATTTTAAATTATTTTTAACTTTTTAAAGTTAAAATAAATGTTACAGTGAAAAATATATACAATACATATGTAAACTGCATTTATATATTTCTGCGAATGTAATAAAACTTATGATTGTTGATGAAAATAATTGCTCTATCACTGTATAATAATTGGCATTAAATCGAATGTAACATAAACGCCACTACATCGAATAAACTCAAAACTTGTGATGACATTTGAAATGCACAATCATATGCATACTAATGATTTCACGTATTTCTGTTATGGTATTAATTATGAGCCGATCATCTAAACCATACGAGTGGATTGTTTTATGTCATAACGATATTAGCAATTTAGCATTCTGATTAACTTTCCATCACGTATGTAGGATATGAATTGATCGGAAGCTGCAAATAATCGATGATTCATAGAGCGGAGCATGTGTCCGACATTTAAAATGGATGTATAACGGTACATATTTCATAAGATATAATATTCCATTAATCTTCATAAAAGACGAAGGGCCGAAACGTAAATCTGCCTGACTTCTCGAGCTTGTCTTGAACATACCAAACTCTCCCCTTGATATTTTATAACGTGAATCATTATTTGACAGAATAAAAGTTTATTCATTTTTTTATATTTTTGGGGAAGATTATTACTTATTTTTACTTATTATACGTAATTAATCAATCAATTTTAGATATCTGCACCAGCACGCTGTTTTGAAATTAGCGATGAAATGCGGAGAGCTGCTGTCATTATGATTTCTGTCGATCACAATGCCAATTTCTTTGATTCAAACATAATTATTTCACTACCGTACTATTATTATTGAAATATTATAATATCACGCATTATAATATAACAATAATCGAACGTGATTTAAATAGCAAATTCGACAAATACTATCATCTCTTTAAATTAGCATTTAGCGAATAATAGTGCTTAATCAATCAGGGAATATCAACAAGAATATTTAGTAATCATTAAATAACAGTGTAATATCTCTCTCAAAATGTTTTGTCACAAAATTAATTATTAACGATTCTAGTAACGATTATATCGACCATGATACACTTTCGATATTAACCCATCAACCAATATTTGAATTGTCGGTGGATGAATTAGTAACCAATTTTTTTATGTAGTTGACAATATATTTCACGATATTAATACATTTCTTTTGATAAACAGTCTGATAAGTGACTATAAATTATATTAAATGTCAAAGTCGCAGGGAGATCATAGGTATGGTGGCTGATAAGCTCGACGAATAGTAAATCGCATTTTCAGCGATCCCGAGGCATCAATCAGTTCTTGATATCTTTGTCAATCTCTGATCTCCCTGGCTTTCAAAAGCAACTCTGGGCAACTTCGGATAGAAGCGGTGTTCATCAGAGGGGAACGAAAATAATATTATTCGGTACATTAATCATTTATATGATATCTCAGTTTAGCTCCTGTTTTTCTTGCAAATTTAGTTTGCATGATAAAGACCGCCGCATGCAAATTGATATATAAAGCGTAACACGCGTAAAATATGAACCGTTCGCTAATGATACACTTAATATATGAGTCATTATTTAATGTAACCACAATGTTAAGTGTTTCAATGGTTAATACATTTTTGCGGTATACTTATACGTTTTGTAGTACATTCAACCATATTAATCATCATAAAATGATAAAGCTAATCACTTCCTGTGCACGGTAATAACGATTAGTGTATATGGTATTACAGGAAGATTATAATATGTCGATTACATTTCTGTAGCTTATACCTTGCACATGATATTTGAAATTAATAATTATCCATAACATTACAACATATACATTGATATCTAATAATGAGCAAATGTATGATATTTGTAAAAAATAACCAAAATTATTATTGTTTAATAGTGACACAAAAAAACTTTTTACATACAAAAGTATTACAATTTTTAATATATTTTTTGTTATAATTTTTAATTTAGTAAGTATCAATATCATTCTATAATTAAATAATAATTTATAGTAATTTTATTAATAATATTTTGACATATAGTGAAATTCGTGAGAAAAAAATAATTTAAAAGATTAAATTCACACAAATAAAATATTCACATAAAAATAAAATATAAAGGTGTACGATCAATTGTGAATCTTTCACTCACCAATATTTCGAATGTCGGTGTATATCGGCACGCACGTTAAAATGTTCGTATCGCATAAAATCGTGTTTACTTGTCCATTCAAACTAGCGTAATGGTCACATTCATGAATGTTTCAAATCACTTATAATAGCTTGAAATCATTCACTGTAAAGATAAAAGTACGATATCGATTTTATATTCCAGATTTACATCATGGAATGGTCCAAATTAATCTTTCAGAAACATTTTCGTTATATATTAAAATTAATTTAGGAGAAATGTATGCTAAAAAAAAATTATTTAAATAAAAAATATATAATATTTAATTATATAATATTTTTGTGATAAGATATTCTTGTGCAAGAAAGACGCGTTTTAAAGTTTGCGGAAAATCTTTTTAATTCACCGTTTAAAGCAATCAAATTGTAATCACACTTTGAGAAAGGAACTTCTCTATCACTGTCCATTTTACGTAAGAAATATCATTACCGCTTTTTAGGAGATAAAAAATTTAAGAAGCTTAACTGTGTTTATCTCCCCAGGGATGCTCGTTGATTCATATTTCATTCGATTGACTGCAAAGAAATAATGTTACGTTTCCTTCCCACGCGCATATATAACTTCTCACCTTTCCATCCGTTTTATTCAATAAAACGGAATGGTATCGCATATTGGAATTTTATACGATAGTCCAAAAATGACTGCAGGATCGCGCCGTCTCACAATCCACCAATAAATTACACAATTTGCTCTTTACGTTCCATCGCGGCCCGAACCGCGTCTATAACCGAGACTGGATTTATCAAATCGCGCATATAAATGCCAATATATATGATTATGTTTCTTGTATCGCTGCATAATATCTCTAGAAAATTTTTTATAACGTTACGTGAAATATTTCAGCTTGCATAATGTCAATCAAATACACGATATAATAAGACATGTAAAAATTTAATTTAGAAGATTTTTATAATGATCAGTTTCATCATTTTATAATTTTCTAGTTTTATAATATTTATTTTGTGTCTGGTTTAGAGATGAAAATTTTCATTTAATTATCAAGTTTCACATAGTTTAAATATACCTGACAAAAAACGCTACCAAAGTTTAATATAATATTCTCACCAATGATAAATTACTTTTCTGTCCTAATAGCTATAAAGATCTTGGTATTTAACATTGCAAATATTCTTAACGAGCGTAACTTTATAATTATACCCTATTATAATTATATTGTACAGTTAGAAATAATTTATTTTTGTTAATTCGTGAAAGAGAAAGATAACACACAATTAATAAATGAAAAGTGTTTATATTTTTGTATGCTATTTATCGATCTTAAAATATAATAATGCTCGAGGAACGCGCCACGTTTATTTTAATTAGATTAATTAGAAGTGATCAGAATTAATAACAGATTAAAATTGTCATTTAATTCATTATGTTATTATTACTGATTTTATTATAAAAGTTTGATATTTCACATCGCGCGCATTTCTCACGATCGGCGGCAAGTAGTAACGGTCGACGTCGTGTACCCGGCATCAGCGACGCGTACGCGACGGTTCTGCGCCGCTGACTGAAACCAGGCCGGCTCTCCGGACTAGTCCGGGATACCGCACACCTCGCCGACACGCCGTGGCCAATCGTGAACGAGCTGTACGTCTTTATGTTCCTCGCGCCATCCTCGTGCACGCATCAATTCTTACGCAATATCGTAGAATAAATATTCTTTCACCCTTGCCAATCGCGCACTCACTCCCCGACGATGACGACGACGTCGCGCGCGTCGACATATTAACCCTCCGAACGAAGTTTCTTCGGTTATACGTTGAAGATAACACGCGAAATGTATTGCTCAGGACGGTCACATATACCTCGTTTTTTCTTTCTACAATTTTATATATACCAACGGATAAATCTGTGTGTAAAATTTCCCGTATATTAACGACGCAAATTTCACAATAGATTTAAACTATTTGAAATTTAATTTCTTTTCTCTCTTATGTTTATAATATTAAAATAAAATCTAAAAAATCTTGTACGCAAAAATATACGAGGGTTAAATACGAAATAGTCAGCAACCAGAATTTACGCGTATGACCATGGAATTTATTGGCAGAGACAACGCAACCTATTATGCCCCTCCAATATAATTCTATCCCGTGTTCACAACCTTTCATCCATTCTCTATCCGGACGGCTATATCTAAAAGACGTCGGACACCATCAGCAAAAATATTTCTGTTGATGGAGAGCGTGTAGGGTAACGTCTCTGATACGAAAACGTCAACAGCCCGATATGCTCGGGTATCACTTGCCTCCTACGAATCTTGGCAAAATTCTTTACCATTACCATCCTCAATCATTTCCATTTTTATTCATTGTTTTACATAATTTGATAAACATATCTTTAAGACGATCCTGTTTAACATAATCGTTTTGCTTATATTCTATGACGCTATAAACTTGTACGAAAGGTACACAGGTTCTAACAGGCCAAACAAACTTAGTACTAATTCTGGAAGTAACTATAGCATCAAATGTTTGTATAATAAAAAGACAATATTGCCCGTACTTTGTATCTCATTCTTGCATATTAGCTTTTAACTTTAAAAGATAAACTTTTTTACGCACACGGGGTAATTTTTATTATTTTTTTATGTCGAAAAATTTTCTCATAAGACATATAAAAAGAAAACAAATAAAAAATATTCAGCTAATTTATAAATCAATCTTGATATTTAGGTAAACGGATATTTATTTCAAGTCAAATTTTTAGTTTAGTTTTCTGTTTAAAAAATATTATGTCCTTTTATCTTTATAAATGTTTACAATTTTTCGTTTTATATCATTTTGCAGATACTTTATGCGGTAAAGTATATCATTTGAATCATTAATACTAGTTGATAAATAAAGTGGAATAAGATCGCGATGATACAGCCGATTTTCTCGTAGCAACGCGACCGCGAAATTGTTGCGAGAACTTCACCTTTGCAAGGTATGCAGATCGATGACTAAGTATACGTGTGTTGAACGATATAGGCGGGTGTGACGTGGAATCTTGTAATTTTCTTCCCCGAGTTCCCATCGTTTTCTTTGTCCCATGTGGCGGTCATCAGTGACGGCAGTGTGTGACCTCTCAATGTGTGCATAATGATGCTAATAAAGCGCATGTGTTTCGCGTTATCAATGCTCTAATATCCGTTGCATTTTGATGATGCGAAGAGCGAGATCAACCAGATAAATTCGAACAAATATGTATTGCCGCGATGCAGCGCGCTCGTTCGCTATCAGCGCGACATTTAATGCACATTAAATAACATTCGAGAGAACTCGGGTCGCATATGTTTCCTGCCTGTATAAACCGAGGTTAATCGTTCAAATAAACTCTATGCAGATCGTGCGCCGCGCACTTTCTTACGCGGCGATTAATCATCGTGCACGAAAGAGAGAGAGAGAGAGAGAGAGAGAAAGCGAGAGAATAACAGGAAGGATGAGGAATCACTGATAAAGTGGATTTTACGATTTAAATTTACAATTTAATATTGCAGCGTCAAGTCTGCGTGAAAAATTATTCTGTTGCAAATTATAAATTATAAATACACATTTGCAATCAAGAACTTTTATGAAAAATCAAACCGATTATCTATACCTATCTATTATGCAATAAATAGTGTTATAATAAATGGACTTCTTTTTTTTGCAACTACAATATCTTCTAGTAAATATAATAGTATTTTAAGATTATTCGTGTACATAAATTAAAGCCATTTGTATCTATATAATTACATGTAAAATCAGATCCTCGTTTGAGCATTCGATATGCAAATCAGTAACTAATATTCCGTAAGCGTTGTGCTCTGCAAGTTTCATCTCTGATTGCTGATTTGGTATGTATATGTTGTGTATACTGTCTTAGCAAATACTTCGCAATACACTATTGCGAATACGATGTCTGAGACTTCAAACTTTGAAATTGCTAATTCTACGTTTAAGTTTGATACATCTTCTAGCGTTGCTTTTACATACAATATACTTTGCATTACACACGTGTGTGTGTATGTTTAAAATATTGTATTACATTCCATTACTTAACCATTAATGTACTGTATATGACATGATTGATTGCAATTAAATTTCATTTTGCCTCATCGACAATTTAACACGCAAATTACCTTTCATGTTGTAGCTTTTAATATCTTTGATTGACTAAACGATTAACTTTAAACTTCAAATTATTTTACTTTTTTGTTAGCATCTGAGAAATATTTGCTCATTCTACAGCGAAAAAAAAAAATTGTTGGATTGACTAAAACCGTTCAACTAATTACCATTTTTTAAATTGAAATATTTATATATTTAAGTCAAATATACGTCATGTTAGATTTAATATGTCTTATTTGATTCAAATATATAAATATTTCAATTTAAAAAATGGTAATTAGTTGAACGGTTTTAGTCAAGCCAACAATTTTTTTTTTT